CAAGTATGCAATGGTGGGCTTAAACCATAAAGGGGCAGACCTTAATCCACCCCAAAACAGTGGCCAAAAGTGCCCAAAATGGTGAACAAACACTCATGCCAATACCTAAGCCAATGGACCTAAAACTAAGGCACAAAAGGGGACACTTTACTTCCACTAACATGACCATTCATGGCATGAATTAGACAAGAAAAAACAGAAACTTAGCATGCAAAATGGACTCCAAACCACTGATATGGCAGCTTGAATGGCTCCAATGAGATGCATGCACCAAAGCTCATTTCTAGGCATAAAAGGGCACATCCTCAAAGCATGAAGGAGGTCACATATGCAAACATACAAACATGATTTATGGACTGAAATATGATCCTAAATGATGCCAAATCATGGGAAATGTCAAAGCTATGCATGCTAGAGGCCAATATAATCAAAGCTTACAAGCCAAAACACATAGAGATGGCACCAAACATGGCAAGCATGGCTGAAACAGATGGCCAACAGGCCTTAAACATGGTAAAGTAATGCCAATACCTTCATGAAATTAGGATAACACATGCAAGAATCATGGCCTAAACACAAGATGCATTTCTAGGCCAAATAGAGGAATGTAAAGCAAGTATATTAAGCATGCAAAAGGGCACAAATCCGACCAAAAACAGAGGTTACATGTGACCTAAAAACACCCAAAAACCTCTGAAAAAGGGCCAAAATCAATCAAGCATGCATGTTACCCTTTAAGCCAAAAAGCAAGGAAATGAAGCAATGAAGGGAGAGGGGTGTCCCTCCCCTATACAAGACTTCAAACCACCTTCCTCACCACTGAAAATCCACTGGTTTTCAGTGGTGAGAAGGCTAAGACACTCAAGCAAACAAGGCCTTACAAAGGAAGCACCAAAAAGGCCAAACTAGGCCTAAAAGGGTGAGGTTGAACTCAAACCACAAAACACCCTTAACGAAAGTGCAAAACTAAGGTAGAAATGCACTTTAAGGCCACCAAACACACACAAGGGAGGAGAGAGAGGGAAATATAGATAGAGAGTGTATGTATATGTATGAGCTCTGGTTTTTCTCTTCAAACTTCCCAACCTAGAAGAAGGAGGAGAGCCTTCCTCTTATAGAAGTCCCCCTTGCAAAGCTTACATAACAAGCTTGCTTAGAGGGAAATCCCTCTATACACGTGTATGGAGGGGAACAGAGTTGGTGCCAGCTATCACAGCTGGCACAAAATATCTACCTAAAGTAGATGAACAGTAGTCGGCTGCTCAAAATTGCCATTTTGACAAAAAGGAGTGCCAACCGGCAACAAATAGTGCCGACCGGCAATATAGATTGCCGATGGCAACAAAACACTAGCCGGTGGCCTCTGGCCATGGCCGGTGATGTGTGGGGATGCCTCACAAGGCATTCCCTGCCCCTCCAAGGCAAAACACAAGTGTTTGGTGCAAAACCAGACACTAAACAGTCGAGTTCGGAGATCCTGAGGCAAGGCGCGTAGCCGAGACCTCCAGGAACTCCAAACGAACACAAACAAGGGTAATCACCGAGTGTTCCAATGGTGACGTCCAAGTCTTGAGGACGGTCAAAAATAGGGTATCTACACCAGTACTTTTGCAGGCCGTGGGGGTTCGCTCGAGCGGCGAAAGCCACGCTCGAGCGGGAAGCCCTGTTCCAGAAATTTTGTAAAGATATTATGTGTTCTGTTTTTCGTTCTCTTCCATTTCTAAGCACTCCTAGGCATGCATTGAACATTAAAAATGAGTTAAAAGGATAATAAAGAAGCCTAAGAGGGATGTATGAATTAAGAACGGATTGAATCATTTGTGACCCATATATGTGTTATGTATTATGTATGGTCAAGCACAAGGACAAATCCACCAGCAGAACACTGTGAGTAATATCTTAATAAGGATGATTTGAATTATGCCATGGTCCAATTACTTACTCCTATTTGAGTTTCGTAAGTTTGTTAATTTGAAAGGTGGACAATATTTGTCATGCCATATGATTCGGCCAAAGGCCGTTTGACCTGAATGATTGGACCAAAGGCCGTTTGACATGAATGAATGAGCCAAAGGCCATTGGATATGAATGATTGGGCCAAAGGCCATTTGACATGATTGATTGGGTCAAAGGCCGTTTGACATGAATAAATGGGCCAAAGGCCGTTGGATATGAATGATTGGGCCAAAGGCCGTTTGACATGACTGGTTGGGCCAAAGGCCGCTTGACATGAATAAATGGGCCAAAGGCCGTTGGATATGAATGATTGGGCCAAAGGCCGTTTGACATGAATGAATGAGCCAAAGGCCGTTGGATATGAATGATTGGGCTAAAGGCCGTTTGACATGATTGATTGGGCCAAAGGCTGTTTGACATGAATGAATGGGCCAAAGGCAGTTGGATATGAATAAGGACATGAATGAATTGGGCCCGAGGCCGTTTGATATGTCTAGACCTGTAGTCGCCTGATGTACGAGACATAAACATGAATTAGGCCCAAGGCCGTCCGATGTATTCGTTTTAAATTCCATTAATGTATTTTCTTCATTTGATATTATTCACTGGGCTTTCGCTCACTCTCATTCATGTGTCTGTAGGTGAGCCAAGAGATGTACAAACCCAACCCCAGTGAAGTCTGTGAGGAACAGTCAGAGTTTTGAGGAGTCTGCCCATATGTCTCACGCACGAGACTAGTTTTCGCCTTTTGTTCCTTTGTTATATTTTTGCTATATCGGTGAAAACTTTAGATCACCTTTGTATATAAGCTTTTGGTTTGGCTGAATATGACTTGAATGATCCTGTTGTGTAAAGCTTGTATGTTAACTTCCTTTAATATGGGTTATTAACGAATACGTGTGAAATGTTATGATGTGCCATATAAGCACATCTCTATGTGCCATTTTATGTTAACTTCCTTTGTATATAATTCTCTCTCTATACAGAGTAGAGAAAGAATTATAGAGTGTGTAATTCTTTGTTCTAGATATAGTGAAATCCGTCGCCCATGGACGCAGTCGATTTGTCAAACCACGTAATTCTTTGTGTGTCTTGCTTGTGTGCTTGTGTGTGATTGTTTCTGCCTCATAGGCACAACACATTTCTCATTTCTGCCTATGTTCAATAGTCCTATGCACACAATTGTTTTTTTTTTATTTATAGAAAATTTGATAAATACGTTGAACTGGTGCCACATGTAAATATATATATTGAGTTTTTGTAAAATGTGTGAAGAGTAGGTGCTATATGCAACACTTTCCATTAGGTTATTGGTTGTGTATGGTTTACTGATTTGGGTAGAAATTTTGAAAGGAAAAGAGAAAATGTATGCTGAGAGGGAGATTTGCGCTAGGCTATGGCGCCGAACCGAATCTGCACGACTTCTTGGGCTATCACATTTGGCCGAGCTATGTTGCTGACCAGAGTGCGAAGACAAGCACGTGCCCAACAGAGCTCTAATTCGGCTAGGTATTTGGTTGGATCCGCAATGGAGCATCTTGAGCGAGCCAACCACAGCCCGGAATGAATTTAGACCAAGACGAAGGCCGGCACGCCTTACGGCCAGTCAGTTCGGATGGACCAACTTCTTACAGTTCGGCCGTCCCAGTCATGATGGTGTTTCTATCCAAGGGATAGGTCGGTTATGATATCCCGGTTGAGTGTGCCACCTGGACCAATGGTGTGATGGAGGGAAAATCCACTTCTGGCACGCCTTAATACCATTTGACAGCTCCACACATGCTGTTTGGAGGTTTTCACCTTTAAACACGTAAGGTAGGTAGAGGGGAGCATTACCACTTATTCAAGGAAGGACAGCAGAGGTAGTGCGCCCATAATCCCTGAGGATGCATGGCCAGCCTAGAAAAAGGAGGCATGGGGGACGATGGAGGTAAGCAATCTGAGGAATTCCCAACTCTCTCTCTCTAAAGTGCTCTCTCCTTCTTCTTCTTCAAGTGTGCTGACTTGATCGTCGGAGGGTCTATCGGGCAGCACACCGCCGAGTAGCTCACCGTCTTTCTGTTTTCAGGCCAAGCGACGCTACGTAAAGCTCGAGTGCAAGGAGTACGGAGAACAGAGAATATTTAACCCCCGTACAATTGGTGCCGTTTGTGGAAAAACTTTGACAGACAAACCTTGCTCTTCCATCTTCTTCGGCTATTTCCATGGCTAACCATGACGAAACTCCACTGTCCGTTGTCAACGGTGTCACGCCAGAGTTTGTTCGACGGAGAGATGGCCCTCATACTATTCCTACCATGGAAGGCTTGGAAGCCTCTTCCAGGGGTGCGCGTGACAAACGCGCAAGGAGTACTGATCACTCGAAAAGTCCAGAGGGCCGTCGACGACGGGGAGAGTCGCATGCTCAGTGCCTGGAGCACAAACTCGAGAACCAGGACGTTCTCATTCACAAGATGGCAGCAGAAATAGAGGTGCTGAAGCACCAGTTGAAGGGGAAGGGTGCTGCTGGAGAGGGCAACCTCAGTGAGCGCACCCCGCTCCCTCACTCTGGCAGTTGTCGCCAAGACAAGACGTCCTCTCTCTCTCTATCACCAGAAGCTATGGGGTAGGGGACTCCAATCCGCAGGGGGGAAGATCTCATACACGAGACAACAGCTACCGTCCCTCACGCCCTGCGTCAACGTCGAGATATTCTTTCTCTATCTATTCGAGAGACCTGAGGGATGTGTTGGAGGAGAGGGCTCACCGTAGAGAGACCCAAAGGCTACCGGCATTGCAAAGACTGAGCTCCCAGATCTGTTGTAGTGAGGAAGTGGCAATGCCAGTGCCTAGAGTGATAGCACCAGGGGACAGAGAGCTAGCAAGACTTACCGCTACCCCACTGTTCCTAAAAATGGAGAGCACGCCGCTCCCTCCTAGATTCCACCAGCCTAAGTTCACATTGTACGACGGCAAGACGGATCTGTACATGTACGTAAGTCATTACCAGCAAGTAATGGCAGGACATCGACACAATGATGCCTTGATGTGCCTCATATTCCCAGCAAGCTTGGGAGAACTAGGCCTGAAATGGTTCGAGAGGCTTTCGGAGGGGAGCATCGAGGGATGGCAACAGCTAGCAGAGGCCTTCGTTACTAGATTCAAAACCAACACTCGAACACCGAAGGAGGTCGACCATCTCCTAAGCGTTAAGATAGAATCTGGAGGCTCTTTGAAGGCGTACAATGCCAAGTACTAGGAAACATACAATGAGATCCTCGACTGCCCCACCAATCTGGTAATCACCCAATACAATCGAGGTCTCCCAATCGGGCATAGGCTGCAAGATTCCCTTACGATGCACCAGCCCACTACCATGGAGTCTTTGATGCAGCGGATCAACGAACACATCCGAGTAGAGGACGATGCCACCACCGCAACCGAGAGGGCAAATCCGATCGCAGTAGACAAAAGAGTGGCGGGGAAGGTTCACTCGGTAGGGCAGGAGGACAACCGTCCGAATGACCGGTCAAAGGATCAACGTCGTGGCTCAAACCGCGATGATAGGAACAAGGGTCGTAGAAACGATCGAGCTAACACTCCTCGTGATAAAGAGGAGGATACCAAGAGAAAGTTGAAGGCGCGAACCGACATCACCACGGTCTTTAAAATCCCTATTTGCCGCATCCTAAGTAAAATCTGAGGTGAACCTTACGTCCGATGGCCGACCAAGTTGGGAAACACATAGAGAGGCTTCAACTCGAGGTATCGCTGCACCTTTCATAAAGAATGAGGGCACCGAACGAAGGACTGTGTCCTGCTCAAACAACATTTGGAGGAGTTGGTGGCGGCAGGGCATTTGGACCAGTGGGTAGACGGCGGTATGAGAGCTACTCCCTAGGAACAAGCCAAGCCAAACGGCCTCGCTATCTTGGATACAGCGCCGCAGAGCGTAATCAATGTCATCCATGGCATCATTGAGCCGGCAAGGGTCTGCAAGCTAAGAGGGATGATCAAGAAAGCCGAGCACATGAGGGAGGTGCTCTCCGTTCAGCCCGCCATGAAGAAAGGAAAGACCGAGGAAAAGGACGTCCTGGCCTTTTCAAGCAAATACTTGGAGAGAATTAAAACGCCTGATAACGACGCCTTAATAGTGACCTTCCGTGTCAAAGACTTCGACATCAAAAGAATTCTGGTTGACCAGGGGAGTTCGGTCGAGATCATGTATTAAGACGTTTTCAAACAGATGACGTTGGAGGACAAGGACTTGGCCTCGCAACGTCTCCATTCGTTGGCTTCAACTCTCAACCGGAATGGCCAATCGAAAAGACCATATTGCCAGTCAAAGCGGGATCAGTCACGAAGTAAGTGGAATTTTGGATGCTTCAGGTCCCATCAACCTACAACTTAATTTTGGACAGGGGCTGGTTGCATGCCATGCAAGCGGTAGCGTCGACCTACCATTAGGTACTGCATTTCCCGGCATCAACCGGACAGGTAGAAGAGGTTTGGGGAGACCAAGTGATGGCAAAACAGTGTTTCGTCGCAGTAAATGGCAGCAGAGCTGCCAAAGGCTTTGTGCAAATGATAGAGGGCCCGGAGGAAAAGGAAGTCCTGGAAGACGTAGGAAGAAAGGCCGAGGAGAAATCGGTCAAAGACTTAGTGGAGGTGCGCGTAGACGAGAATGACCCAAACAAGTTCATCCTTTTAGGCTCATCTCTATCTAGTGCCGAGCGGCTAGAGTATGTTGACTTTTTGGTTTCCAACATGGAGGCCTTTGCATGGATGCCTTACGATATGCCTGGCGTCGACCCTAGCTTCATTTGCCCCCAGTTGAACGCCTTTCCAAATGCACGGCCGATCATCCAGAGGACACGACACTCAGCCTTGCACCATGCCGAGATAGTGACAGAAGAGGTCAAGAACTTGTTGGAAGCAGGGGCAATAGAAGAAGTGCAATACCCTAAATGGATATCTAACACGGTGGTGGTGCCGAAAAAGAACGGTAAGTGGCGGGTGTGCATTGATTATAAGACGATCAATCGTGCATGCCCAAAGGATAGCTTTCCTCTCCCAAGAATCAACTAGCTGGTGGATTTGACCACTGGCCATCAGAGATTCAGCTTCCTTGATGCATATTGTGGCTACCACCAAATAGCTATGTATGAACCAGACCGAGAGATCACTTCGTTCACCACTCCGCGAGGCCTGTACTGCTACAAGCTTATGCCATTCAGACTAAAAAATGCAGGGGCAACTTTTCAACGGATGGTAACCAAGATGTTCGCTCCCCTTTTGGACCGCACCATGGAGGCTTACATCGATGATATGGTGGTAAAGAGCAAGGAAAAGTCCCAACACCTTATCGACCTAGCAGAGATGTTCGCCACACTTAAACATCACAAGCTGCGTTTGAATGCCTCAAAGTGCGCCTTTGGAGTTGGCACCGAAAAATTTCTACGCTTTTTGGTCACGAACCGAGGAATTGAAGCTGGACCTTCCCAAATCAAGGCAATACAAGAGCTGGAGCGCCCAAACTCTACGAAGGACGTGCAGCATCTTACCGGGATGGTGGCCATACTGAATAGATTTATCAGTCGGTCTTCAAATCATTGGAGGCCCTTCTTCAAACCTTTGAAGGCCAAGTTCTTCTGGGATGACGAATGTGACCGTGCATTGGCAGATCTGAAGGCATACCTGTAGACTGCACCGGAACTCCGCTCCGCGCGTGAGGGCGCGAATCGTTTGTTCCTAGCTACTACAGTTTGGACTCATGTCACGGTTCTGAATCTAATCTCACAAAGTACAATGTGAGACTAATAAATCACCAAAGAGTCCAAATCCGGCAAATCGTTTTGGAAAACTGATTTTTATCAAAAAGCGCCAAACATGGACTACTTTGCCAGATTTCAGAGTCGCCACCTAAATATTTTGTTTTTTGGGAAATTTAGCAAACCCTAACTCATGCCTAAGGCCACGTGTCTGTCATCACTAAAGTTGCCTCGGCTCAGGAACTTGGGTACGAGAGGGGAATGTCCTGAAATGAGCACCCCCGCTCGTCCGATCAAAGGATCGGCCTCTACTAGCATGATATGTTGTTTTTGAAAACACATGTGTTCTTGTTCAAATTATTAGCTAACTTACTATGTGATGCGCACGGCACACAAGTACAGATTAAATCACTCGATTTGGAACAAAACATCTCATATTTGTTTGTTTGAAAATGGTTTGAAGTTGCTAATCACAAGTAGGCTAAGTCACGGATTTGCCACCCTCAAGTGGGCTTAGAAAACATCATTTGGCCACTCTCAAGTGGGCTTAAAACACACATTTTGATGAATTGTTCCAATTCAAGCAATCCAACTATCACCCACAGGCATTCGAGCAGTTAATCACTTAAGCAAATAGCCTTATGGCAAGCATGCTATCATGGCAGTCACTTACATACATGCAAGGATGCTAAAGTGTAAACACTCGCAGTGAACTCCGAGCCAAAAAAGGAAACTAGTTAGTAATCAATGCATGATCCTAGCTATGTCAACAATGCCTAATGCAACACATGCAAAAATGCAACTAAAATAGGCTCGACTATTCTAAGGTGTCATGTTAATGCAACTTGATAGCATGTATTCAAATTGGTATTGAAATACAATGCAATTAGTATGATGTGCCGAGCCCGATGCATGTAAGACAGATGAATGATGCACGCATGCATAGCATAAGGATGGTAATTGAAATATGCCCTAAAACTAACTATCAAAAGCTGGTAAATAAAAGGGAGAAAGACGTGGGGTTGGAAGACATTCACACACTCACGCACACTTACTACAAAATTCGCCCTCTCGATAGAGGGTCCGAATAAAAGCTAAGCTAAGCAATTAATTACAAATAAACTAATTAACTACTTAGCGAATTAATTATTACAATCCAAATTGAAACAAATAGTTATGCTAAGCTAATTAAAATATTACAACCAATTGAATGACTAATCATGCAAACTAATCATAAGCAGTGAGATGGCCTCGCGGGCAAGGAAGAGATGCATGCTCGGTTGGCTTTGCTCGGAAATCCACTGCCGAGCCTGGTGATGCCTCTGTTTGCACTGTTTTGGGCTTCTAAAAATTGTGCCAACTTCCAAGACGCTTCTGATCCACCTCATGGATATGATGAGGGGTGGTCGGCCAAGATGAATGGCCATCGGCCAGAGTTTGTGGCTATCAGCCAATCCGATAGCCGATCGGCAGCCTTTGATGGCCGGTCGGTAGCTCTGATGGCCGATCGGCCACCGCTTCCTGCAATTTCTTCTTTTGCTGCAACAGAGCACAAACAGAGGCATGGTAGTGTATTTACAAGGAAATGTTTGTGCAACTACACCCATTATCATGTCTTAAACTCAAAGGAGTGTAGTACTCGGATCTTGAGCCACCAATCAAGCATCTCAATGCATGATGGCCAAAGAGGCCAAGTTGCACAAGCTCAATAAATGCATGACAAGCAAGGCACTTGGACCATCACCTTATCATTGATAATCAAAGGCAATGGAGACAAAGGGGATTGGCCCATTTTCATTACTTCAAGTATGAAATGGACCAATTCACTTTGTGTTCAAGATAACGTCTAGTCGAACACAATGCAATGCACACATGCAACATGCTTATCTTGGCACATTTTACTTGATTGATTTTGTTTACACATTTTAACATTACCAATCCATTCATTAATCAATTTGTCCAGCTATGAGAGTCCTCTAATGAGAGAGAGGTCTGTCAAAGTGAATGGTTTGAGGCATGGGAGAGACCAATGCCTTTGACTATGAGTAACCCTCAAAAAAGGATTGAAGCCATTTAAGCACAAGTCTCAATTCCTTGCATTAAACTCAAACTCAAGACTAACCAATCCTCAAAACAAATCAAAAGTGAAGAAATGAGGAGGATGGCAGATTTTCAGTGCTAAAGTGGCATGAAATACAAGACTCTACTATGCAAAAATCGCATGTACAACATGCTAGAACACTTAAGCGTTGAAACTAATGAAGAGCTTTACACTAGGACCATGCAATACAATGCTCAATTGACTAAACCAACCCCAAACAGACCTCATGCATGCCAAAACAGTGCCTAAAATGGACTGAAATGATAGCATGATAAGCAAGAAAAAAC